TTTTTTTTTTTTTTAATTTTTTTTTTTTTATGTTTTTATTTATTTTTTGAGAGAGAGAGAGTGTGATCCGGGGAGGGGCCAAGAAGGAGACAAAAAATCTGAAGCAGTCTCCAGGCTCTGAACTGTCAGCACAGAGCCCAACGTGGGGCTCAAACTCATGAACCACGAGATCATGACCTGAGCCAAAGTCGAATGCTTAACTGACTGAGCCACCCAGATACCCCTTACTTGCTTTCTTTTAGACTCTGGAGTGTCTCTGTAAGCATTCAGTACCTGAATAGCAGTATTTAATTTTGTAAATCAATTGTAGGCATCAGCTTCAGACTCACGCAGAACTGGTTTTAGAGGAAAACAAGTTGTTGATAGAGCAGTTGGAGATTCAGCAAAGAAAAGTCAAGGACATCCATCAGGAGCGTCTCCAGGAAGGTGAGCCATCTTTCCATCAAGTAATGATGATGCTGTGATATCACCGTTGTCTCATACTTGCACCGCCCCCCCTTCTGGTAGAGATCCCCTTCAAATTAAAAATGGGGGAAATCATGTTTTCTAGAATGTGTTGTTCTTTACTGAAATGCAGCTGTTTATGTTACAACATATCCAACCATTACCGCAGTGATTGCTTTCTCTTAGGCTCCGCAGTGTCCTTCCAGTTATTCTGTAAATCTTGTAAAGCAAATGTACATGACCCATTTAGAATCTGCAGAACTGGGTTTGGGGGTGCTAATGCCATTTGTAAGAGGGGACAATCATGGGAGGTGAATATTTGAAACAATGCAAGGGTCTGTTCCTGAATATTTGTGACATGAGTAATAAGAACTCACTCACTCTCTGAATAGTTTCTGTGTGACCTTGCCCTTCGTCAGAGCTGTGGGCGCTGTGATAGACTGTATTTCCCTTCGATACCTTCTGTGAGCACCCCCTCTCTCCATGTGTCCCTCCCTGCTCCTAGGAGCCCCAGAGCATATGGCCTTGGACTTTGAAGTGGACCAGATTGAGTCATTTCTTCTACTTTGGTTAAACCCCAAATTTATGAGCACAAAAGGTAGTGGCGTTTTTCCCCCTGTGCTTTACTGATTTTTCTTTTCCAGGGAAGAATAACACAGGACAAGAGGGCAAAATACAAGCTGTCTTGTGTAGCCAATGTAACCCCTCCCTTCTGTTTTCCCTAATGTTCCTGATTATTTTTTTTTAATTTTTTTAAGTTTATTTATTTATTTATTTATTTATTTAGAGAGTGGGGGGGGAGGGGCAGAGAGAGAGGGAGAGAGAATCCCAAGCAGGCTCCACACTGCCAGTGTAGAGCCCAATGTGGGGCTCGAACTCACAAACTGAGATCATACCCAAACTGAAATCAAGAGCTGGATGCTTAACCGACTGAAAATGCTGCTGATTATTTAATGACTGCCCTTTCCACCCTGGGCACTAAGGCCCCCACTGCTTCGGACGCTGCTGGGTTGGCACACCATTTGTTTCCACGAGCCGGGTCATGTTTAAAAGTGACAGTGTCTGTCAGCACGTCCGATAGGCATTTCTTCCACAGGACTTCCCCTTCAACTCCACGTGGCACGGACATATGTGCCTTTCCTCTGGCATGATTTGGGGTGGAGGAAAGAGAAAGTCGTTGAGCCTCCTGTCTTTGTTTTCAAGACCAGAGATGGCAGGGAAAATTAATTTTGTATGCCCTGAGCTTAATTTCTTTAAATGTAGTGGATCTGAGCAGGTGTGGTGATTATTCTGGTCACAGAGAATAGGGTCAACCTTTAGGCCTGTCTGGTTTAGTCAGCTGCCTATCTTATCTTTCCATTTCCCAGAGGGAGCTATTCATTTTGACCAACTAACTTTTCACAGAGTACAAGGATTTAAAGTTTTATGCTCTAAGACTTCTAAGTGCCGGTTCCAACAGCTGTCTGGGAAGTATCTTACCATTATGTACTACGGTGGTGCTCAGGCTGAAAATATTTACGATTTCCTTTAGATACAGGACAGAAAACATAACTTAATGAGGAAAGGGAAGAAAAGCAATACATTCAGTCTGTACTTGGGCCATATTTGATGTCTCTACTTGAAAATCTTGCACTTTCAGGGACAATATCGATGTGTGTCTGTGCTTGCGTATCTGTGTGTGACTTAAGGCTTCAGTCTTTGGAAAGTCAGTTCCTTGAAGGCTAAAATCATGTTTTGTTTAACATCATATGTTATCAACTATGATATCAACAAATTGAACGTGCTAAAAAATAATAATAAATAAATTGAGCCCCAGTAGGGAAATGTATGTTTAGGGAACATTTAATATAGGGACAGTAATTTCTAAGTACAAGGCCTTTGGTATTAATTTCTAAATCCCCAAAAGATTTTTTCAAGATCATTTTTTATGATCTGGCTCTCCTTGGTATTACCTAGTAATCAAGAATCCTGTTTTCCTAAGTCTTCTGTACCAAGTCTTTATCCATCTCATTTTTCAGTTTCTAAGCTGACAAAACAACTCATGCTTCTGGAGACTAAAACCCAGAGCCAGGAAAAGGAGCTAACTCAAAACAAGGAGCAAATGGAAATTTTGCGTACCGAATGCCAGGAACTAAAAACACGCTTGGATGGCAAAATCGCAATGAACGTCCATGCTTCGATTGTAAACGAATTAAAAAGGTAAGGACACAGGGTCTTTTCATTTTCACAAGTGTGAGCGTGTCACCGTGCGTGTGGTTTTAGGCGGAGAGGAGAGGGGTCACACTGTCTTCTTCTGAGTCTATTAGCTGCACCAACACAGGTGTCCGGGACTGAGAATGGTAAATCTTTCATTATTAAAGTACGCTATGCCTGTCCTTGAGGGCTGCCATCTGCAGAGTGTGAGTGTGTGTGTGTGTGTGTGCGCGCGTGTGCGCATGTCCGTGATTTCTTTTCCCCCTACTGTTCCAGCCTTTATTGGTTCTGGACCCAAAGGTAATTTAAAGTAGTAGAACAGAAAACCTGGATATCCAGTAATAGGGAACTGGTTCAATTAAAGGATAGAAGCATAAAATGCTATTTATTTGTTTGTTTGTTTTGAGAGGGAGAGAAAGAGCACGAGCAAGGGAGGGGCAGAGAGGGAGAGAGAGAATCCCAAGCAGGCTCTGCACTGCCAGTGCAGAGCCCGACGTGGGGCTCAAACTCATGAATCACGAGGTCATGACCTGAGCCAAAACCAAGAGACGCTCAACCGACTGAGCCACCCAAGCACTTCAAGGGAAAAAAATATATTTTTAGATGAAGAGATTAGATTATAAAACAGTATGTATAGAATGATCACAATTTTATTTAAAAGGAAAATTTTATTTAAAAAGAAAGAAAGCACATGTATGTATGTGTATTAAGGTGACCAACTATCCCGGTTTACCTGGGACTGAGAGGTTTTCCCAGAATGTGAGAATTACAGTGCTAAAACTGGAAAAGTCTGAGGCAAACTTGAATGAGTTGACTGTTCTAATATGTGGGTCTTTATATGTATTTCTTACGTGTATAAATACATACACACACATATTTGTATATGGTCACACTCACATATGCCATAAGTACATAGAAAAAAAGACTGGAAGAATGGAAAAATATTAACAGAAATTCTCTTTGGCAGGTGAAATGGGTGTATTAGTAGCTGAGGTTTTCCAGAAAAACGATGGATATATGTAGGATGTGTATATAGATATTTCTAGAGAGAGGTTTATTTTAAGGAACTGGCTCACACGATTATAGAGGCTGGCAAATCCAGAATCCACAGGGCAGCCAGCTGGCTGGAAACTCAGGCAGGATTTCTGTGGTACACTCTTGAGGCAGAATTCCTTCTGTAGGAACTCTCAGTTTGGGCTCATAAAGCCTTCAACTGATTGGATGGGACCCACCCACTTATCAAGGGTAATCTGTTTTACGTCAAGTCAGTTGCCGATAGATGTTTATGACATCTGCAGAATTCCTCCACAGCAGCATCCATCTAACGTGTGACCAAACAACCGGGCACCATAGCCTAGCCAAGTTGACACATAAAATTAACCATCAAAACGGGTAATTTAAATTTTCTTTGTGTTTTGTTTTAAAATATTTTACCTGTGTTCTATTATGAATATACATTATTTTCATAATGAAGGAAATAATTTTTTAAATGGTTAGGCATTCAGCTAAGACGGTTGACGTGGGGGAATAAATGAGTTAGGGCATGTAAAGTGCTTAGTTTGGTGCGTCAGTAAATGCTGGAACCCAGTGTTTTCTCTGTACTATTACATGTTGTCTGGGCCATACCTGTACTTTACTTTTCTATTCCAGTAGAGGAAGGAAAGTTTTTTGAGATTATGTTCCTCTTTGTGATTTTATTTCCCTCAAACACCCACTCCTGTGGCTGATGTTTTTTTGTGGATGTGTCATAGGCACATATTCTAGATGTGAGTATAGAAGATATGAAAACCTTCAGAAGGAAGCCACTAATGGCAAAGGCAATGGAAGACAAGGCAAACATGTTGAAAAGGCAAATATGTCACCACATCTCTTGTAAGTGGAAATCAGGAGAGGAGCATTGTGGTAGAGAGTAAACTAGTCCCTAGTAGAAGGTGACAGAAGGCCTTTGTGCCAGCCTTTTTCCAGGAGGCTTTGTGCTCAGAGTTGACTGGTGGGGTAGAGGGTGGAGCAGTGAGGGTGAACACAGAGAGTGTTGACTCCGATGGTTCCCTATTGGAGGGCACAGTGTTTGATTGGAGAGAGCATTTGTAACATGGGAAGAGGGGCATGGCTTCATCAGGGATGGAATGTGTGAATTCGGGGAAGTCCGTAGAGGCTGTACCAAGATTTGGTAGAAAAACAGACAAAGTAAGGTGAATACTGAAGACATGAGGTAAGCCAAGGACACCTTGGAGTTGGGCTGAAGGGAGCCAAAGTGCGCCCACCCTCTGGTTGCCTCAGGTAGGGGGCTCCCTTCCCACACTGATCCGGTAGTAAGAGATCCGCCACATGTACCAGAGCAGTTAGTTACTAGTCATCAGCAAAGCAGCTGTTGACCCAGCTCCTACAATGAGGGGAGTCTCAGGAGGAATTTGGGAAAGGGCTGTGTCTCGGGCAAAGATGAGGTCCCGAGAAAAATGTGTTTATAGAACAAAAGGATTAAACTGAATGCTCGGTGAGTGTCCAGGGACGGTGCCTATGTGTCATTTGTCCTCTCCTGGTTCAGGGAAGTGCGGATCATAAATATGGAGTGGCTTCTCCATTTTGTCTTGTTTGTTCTATCTGTTGGCAGCTTGCCTGGGAGGAACTGTGGCCCAAGAGAGGGCAGGAGGTTATTCTCATGGGGAGCTGTCCAGCTGACTTAGAGCTGTGCGGTGGCCACGCCTGGAGGCTTACATTGTTCTTGGCTTTTATCATCACTTACAACTGTTGAGTCTACCCATGATGTGAACCAGGGTGTCACCCCACCTCTAAAGAAAGTTAGCAAACTTGTTTAGAGAGAGCTAAAGGTTTGGGGTGACTAGTGGTGTCTACACAAGGAAAGCCTTCCTTATTCTGGCTTTTGGGGCAGGGGGGTTCTAGCCTAAAGGGTAGCTGACTAGTCACAGAATTCGTCTGTGTAGGCAGAGTCCTGCTCAGCAGTCAGTGATATGCCTGCTCAGGGAGATGCCAGGGCAGAAAAGCCATCTCCTTATATAATACCTACCAAAAACCCAGTTCTTCATCCTAAAATAAGAACAGACTCCTAGATGTGAACAAATGACAAGCATCATTGGATATAAAGGAGGTAAAAATACAGTGAAAGAGGGAGACCTACGTAAGCAGAGAAACTCACTTCAAAGGAAAGTCAGATGGGGCGCCTGGGTGGCTCAGGCAGGTGAGCATCTGACTCGTGATCTCAGCTCAGGTCTTAATCTCAGGGTTGTGAGTTTAAGTCCCACACTTGGGTCCATGCTAAGCGTGAGGCCTACTTAAAAAAACAAATAAAAGGAAACAGATAATATAGAGAATGCAGGAGATATAAAACAATAAAATGCCATAAAAGAAGTGCAATTATTAAGAGCAAGATTAGAAATGATTACCAGAGGGGCGTCTGGGTGGCTCAGTTGGTTAAGCGTCCAACTTCAGCTCAGGTCATGATCTCACAGTTTGTGAGTTCGAGTCCCGCATCGGACTCTGTGCTGACAGCTCAGAGCCTGGGGCCTACTTCAGATTCTGTGTCTCCCTCTCTCTGCCCCTCCTCTGCTCATGCTCTGACTCTCTCTGTCTTTCAATAATAAATAAATGTTAAAAAAATTTTTTTTTAAATAAATGATTACCAGAATCTAAAGAAAATTAAAAAGGCCAAAAGACAAATTGGTCAATTCTGCCAGAGCATAAGGAGACAGACAATTGGGAATGGAGAGGAAGGTAATAGATGGAGGACCCATCCAGGAAGTCCAACCTTAGATCGTCAGGAACCTCAGAAAGAAAGATTGAAGAAAATGGGCAGACCGACATTAATAGTTGAAGGGCATAGTTGAAGTCTCTGAAGACTAACACTAGGACCCGCAGAGTACCCGGTACGATGAATGAAAAAGACCCACACCCAGATATACCTGAAGGAAATATCAGTGGATCCAGAAGGACAAGACAGTCCCAGCACCCACAAATGAATAGCGAGCTGGGACTCCAAAGGGTTTCATCCTCAGGGTAAGGTGAACCGGAAACAAACCAGCCCTCAGTCCTCTCTGGAGGAAGGTTCCTTACTCCTAAAAATTTTCCAAGGATAGTGTCCAGGACACAAAGACAGACAGACAGACAGACAGTGACTGGGAACTAATAGAAGTAGCACATAATAATAAAGAGTCCAGATATAGAATTATCAGACAAAGACTATAAAGCAACTGGTGGCTGTTAGGCTTAAAGAAATAAAAGCCTCCAAAATATCTTCTGAGAACTAAAAAGCATCACAATACTGGGTTTGAAAAAGAAACAGAATTTTTAGAACTGGAAAATACAATAACCTAAATTAAGAATTCACTGGATGGGCTTAACTCTGGATGAGACCTATCAGGATGGTGAATTAGTGAACTGAAAAATAGATCAGAAGCAGGTAACCATAGGATGGCATGGAGTGCTCCAAGGTTGTGGTATCAGTAGATCACAGACAGGAAGCGACATAGGGATATATTTGATCCAGAGAGTTAGACTTATGACTAGACTAGGGCGTCTTCCACAACTGAAGACAATATGACAACACGTGGATTATACTTGCCCAAGGAGCGCAAGCACAGTCGGGTAAATGAAGAGCTGTCTTAGCGAAAGAGCAGAGGACAGGTTTTCTTCAGAGCAGTTCAGCCACAGCAGGGTGTTTAACAGGTAACAGGGGACATGTCAATTGGGAAACAAACAGAACCCCTAAGGAGCTAGAGTTTTATCACTGGAGAAAATGCCTTTCAGGAATGAAGCCAAAATAAGGATATTTTCAAATCCAAACTGAGTGTTGCCACCAGGAAGCCTACATTAAAGGCAATTCTAAAAAAGAGTATGCATCAGGAGGAGGAAAATAATTCGGACGTGGATGTATCAGAAACAAGGTAGAAATAAGAGTAAAAAAAGACATAGTGAATATGTTAGTAAATGTAAGTGAACATCAATTCCATAGAACAATATCTTTTGGGATTTAAAAATACATAGAATTCTGG